TACAACTTTAGTACGCGGAGCAATCTGTAGAGCTGGAAGCTGAGAACGGGCGACTGTGTAGTACAACTTTAGTACGCGGAGCAATCTGGAGAGCTGGAAGCTGAGAACTGGCGACTTTCTAGTACAACTTTAGTACGCGGAGCAATCTGTAGAGCTGGAAGCTGAGAACTGGCGACTTTCAAGTACAACTTTACGCGGAGCATCTGGGGAGCTGGAAGATGAGAACTGACTGGCGACTTTCTAGTACAACTTTAGCACGCGGAACAACCTGTGGAGCTGGAAGCTGAGAACTGGCCACTTTGTAGTACAAGTGTAGTACGCGGAGGAGTCATCTCTCGCTGCTGAGTCAGCTCTCGCTGCTGTGAGTCATCTCTCGTGACTGAGTCATCTCTCGCTGCTCAATTATCTCTCGCTGCTGAGTCAGCTCTCGCTATAGCCATCTCTCGCTGCTGAGTCATCTCTCGCGGCGTGCAGGTTTGGCACAGTTCATACTGATAGTATTTGGTTGCACTTATGCAGGACAGGACATTCAACTGCTGGTCAATACACCACTCATCATACACCACTCAGCATACACCACTCATCATACACCACTCGTCATACACCACTCATCATACACCACTCGTCATACACCCCTCTTGTCGTGGCAAAGATACACCCCAGTACGCTGCTGTGAGCTGCTGATCCTGCAGGGGGCACACACCTTACACACGTGGAATCCCGTGGGTCAAAAGTCCGGAGCGCGTGCGTTTGACTGGAGGACGCGGGAACCTTTCAATCAGAGGGATGAGGTAGGTAGTGGCTAGTGGTACTGGGCAGTGGCAGCCAGGGAATCCATTGTCAGGACACTAGTAGTCTGGAGAATGTAGTTTTCCCCGTTCCTGGACAAACCCAACTCCCAGTGTTCTAGGTGGCCTCCGAGAAAAACACGTCACAGACCTACAAGTAGTTCCCGGGCAAGCCGGCGGCGGAAGTTTCCTATAAGAACAAATTGACCTATAGGAGTGTCCACGTTCTCTCCAGACGGTATATATTTTCAGGGTATTTTGGCCTTCCTTGTTTTTAGACAAATTGAAATGCCTTGTGAAATTGATGGATGTCAAATCGTTTGCAGCCCATGGTGCAAGTTAATGCTGCCTGAGGTGCCTTTCATGATCAGCATTTTGCGTTTCTGGTTGTTCTCCGCCTCTTGCTCTTCTTCTTCTTCTTCCTGTTCCATTTGCTCTTTCTTGTTCTCGGTTACTGCACTTTCTCTTCCCCTTCCCTTTTCCTCGTTCTTTTGCTCTGTTGTTTTGTCCTTTCTCTGGCTTCTCTTCTCTTTCTCTTCTTGTTTTTTTCTGCTCGTCTTCCTGTTGTCTTCCTCTGCCTCTTCTTCTTTCTCTCGCTCTGGCCTTCTTCTTTTTCCAGTTCTTCCTCTTGCTCTTGCTTGCGCCCTTAAAGAGAAAGAGAAAGCGAGAAAGGCAAAGAAAAAGGAAAAGAGAAAGAGAAGGGGACAAGAAAGAGGGAGAGGAAGAGAAACAGAAAGAGGAAGAGAACAAGATAAAAGGAACAAATGAAAAGAAAGAGAAAACGAGAAAGGGGAAAAGGGAGAAAGGGACAAAGAAGAGGAAAAGAAAGGGAAAGAAACAGAGAAAGAGAAGTGGACAAAGAAAGAGACAAAGAAAGATTTAAAAAAAAAAAACAAAAGAAAGAGAACGAGAAAAAGGGGAGAGGAAGGTTAAAAGAACATGAAATAGTACGGTGGCCAGTCCCTGGCCTAAATGGGCTCCAAAAGTTTTTTGGGGCAGTAAGGTTGCAAGATTCTTTGGCCTAACTGGGTTTCAAAGATGTGTTTTGCGCAGTAAGCTGGCAAGAATCTCTGGGCCAACTTGGCTCCAATAAAAGATCGCAGGTGAAAAAAAACACACACAACCTCTTCCCCTCATACCGGCCGGTGCCCGGCTGTCAGGCGTCGTAAGCCTTTGTTTCTCTGGGGCACCGCAGCCGCCGACCCCAAAGTTACTGTATGTTTACGTATTTTTTGGCCTTATATGATTATATGTTTGAACATTTGGGAAATGCGTTTTGAAGCTCATAGGTTTCAAGTCGCTTGCAAAGGCCTGTGGTGCGAGCTATGCTGCCCGAGTTACCTTACAATATCAGCATTGTTTGTTTCTAGTTATGTTTTTCTTCTTCCTCTTCCTCTTCCTCTTATTATTCTTCTTATTATTACTATTATTTCTTCTTTATTCCTCTTGCTCTTCCTTTCCCTCTTCCTCTTGCTCTTGCTTGCTCTCTTCCTCTTGCGTCTTCTCTTCCTCTTGCTCCTCTTCCTGTTCTCTTCTTCTGCCTCTTGCTCTGTTTTTTCTTTATCTTGCTTGTTCTCTTCTCGTTTTCTTCTTCTACTTCTTCTTCTTCTTCCTTTTCAGTTCCTCTTCCTCTTGTTCTTGCTTCTTCTCTTTCTGTGGTTCCTTCTCTTCGTCTTCCTCTTCTTTGGCCTTCTTGATCTCCTTTTCTGACATGTTCTTACTGTTTTTCTCAGTCTTCCGCTATTTGTTCCTTCCTTCTGTTTCTCCTTTTCTGCCTCTGTCTCTCCCTCTTCCTTTCTCTCCTTGCTCTACCTCTTCGTCTTCTTTCTTGCTCTTCTTGCTCTTCCTCGTCTTCTGCTTCTTCCTCTCGCAAAGTCGCAGCTGCGCACATGTCACCCACTGCACGACTTCGCTGTGGCGCATACCCTTGACTGCGAGCTTTATCATCGTTTGGAAGACTTCTTTCTTGCGGGGAAAACTGGCAAAGGCGTGACCGGTGTTCAGCTGCCCCAATGCAGCCAGGATTTCCTCCCACGGCAAACTAAAGGAGCAAATATTTCCTCGGACTGCCAGACGTTGGTGCGGGCGATGCCTCTTGAAGCGAATGCCCATGGTCAGCCTCGAGATAACTCACTATGGGGGCGCCCGTCTAGCACTTCCCCCATCCTTCACCGAACGGCAATTCCGCCAACATCGTAGTATCCAGCTCAGGACCAGTGTAGGTACGGGGGGGTCTGCAAATGTCCGTACGTGACTAGTGGTGGTGCTAAGGATCTCAGTGCTGATCCACAAGCATCCACCCGCCCTTGGGCGCATATAGTAGTCCAGGATAGATCCTTTCCAGCCCCAAAGAAGACACGAACCATCTCCATCTCTCCCTCTGATCGAAACATCGGGCAACTCGGACAACCCGGCAGAATCCCAACAAGGTGGGGCAAGCGATGCGCACCAGCTCCCAATCCTGGACACCGAATCCACGGGAGCTCTGAGGTTTTGACCGATAGGATTTGGACCGGTTGGGTTGTTTAGCTGAGCTTGGAGACTTTGATTGGCTGGATCGTCATAGAGTGGTTAACCATGGTTAACCAGTAGACTGATCCAAATGAATAAACTCTGGCCAAATTACAGTATGGCTCAATATCCAATGTGGTAACTCTTATCAAATTGAAGTCATGGACCAATTCTACAAACAATGTGATTGAACTTTCTGGTCATGTTCATATTTCCAAGAACTTTGATGAACTTAGGATTCTTGAAAGCTTCCTCTCTGATTGGATGGTACCAATCCCAAAGAGGCTGTTCAGCGAACGATACATTCATGCTAAAGATTCGATCTATCTTTTTCAACTCCCAAAGCTGTGCAACTTCCTCTGATCTCAAGAACTTCGTGGCGCTCATTCCAGTGTCCCAACGACGGGTTTCCACCAGAACTGCTGATCACTTGAGGTTGGAACGAACTGCGGTGCTACCGTGGTTCATCTAAACTGTTCTTCCCAGACGCGCCGGTTTATGGGACTGCCATAGGACTGCCGATCAGGCCAGGGGTGGTGTCAGGGGGGTCTTTGCGGGGCAGTCCTATGGCAGTCCGTGTCGTGTATGGGATTAGTTCCTTGGAGCTTCAGGTGTAGAAGGATTTAGCGGCTTCGACTTCCGTAATCCTTCTGTTGAGGAGTTGTCCTAATCACGAAGCAGCAGTTGCGTCCTCGCCCGGGGCATCAGTTTAAAGTGGAGTTCCATGCGAGTGCAACGTTGGAGGAAAAAGCACACTGGAGTCGGCGGTCGTGAGGACAAACACATGTTTTCTAACATGGTTCTTTCCGTGATTCTTGCCGTGAATGGAAGAGCGCCTTTAAGCAATTTCCGCATACTGATGGTCCTGAAGTTTTCAGGAACCAATTCCAGACACTCCATGTATGCCATAGACTCCATGTGCCAACTGGTGGTTGTCACCATTTTCAGAACGATCCATGTTTTTTTCAAGTTTTATATAAACGTATGGCCTCGACAAAGCTCCGACTTACGGACGGGTTTGGGCTTTGGGGGGGGCGTGAGAGATCAAACAAACGGGCCGCCACGGGCCTTGGGGTTTAATGAAGTCTTGTAGATCCAAATCATGGGTCTGTGGAAAAAAAAAAAGAAGCAACACTCAACAACGCTCATGCAACTTCATTCCATTCCTATATGCAAATAGTTCCACATATATGCATGTCCAGTGACATATTCCGATGCATCTCAGTTTCTGTTCAGCTGCTGGAAAGAACACGCCGGTCCCCCCCGCAGCGCACGCGGAGCCGCGCTCCTGAAAGACCTCGGTGCCGCCCGTGGCCGACGCATCGGTTGGGACGGGGAACGGATGGACGGACGGAGGTGGAGCGACTTCTTGAGACGTCTTGAACCACAAGCACATCAAGCTTGGTGGATTGTACACCTACAAGCATGGTGAACAAGTTTATGTGTTGAATGAGATGAATGGAGCCCCCCCCCCAAAAAAAAAGACTGTTCAATATCGATTAGACAGGATTTTTGACTGATTGGTCAAGCACGCAAACGGCATTTTTCACAGATTGCCCATGTATTCTTGTTCAAGTTCAAAAATCACACTCATTTTTTTGGAATATATATATATATATTAAAATATATGGAATATATATATATATGCCTATACGCATTGACCCCTGAAATCAAGCACCCCTGGCCTCTTCTTGCTCAATATGTCAGTCCCAAAGCGGGTCGTGTCAAAGATGTGGAGTCTCTAGCCTCATCGATGGCGCCCTGAACAGCGATCTGTGGGTCGCCGGCGTATGAGATCACCTGTCTTGAGATCAGATTCGATGCCACGTGTGGACGCGTCTCAGATGTCGAGTGGAACTTATGGCCAAAACGATGCACAAATTGCCTTCTACTGTACTCCACCGCATCATCTGAGCTGCCCTGCCCATACCACTGGTGGTAAAAGCACTCCACCACCACCGCTGTCGCCATAGGTACCATAGCTGAGCCGAGTCGACGGAATAGAGACACTCAGGTACCAAACACAATCCCGCCCTTGTATCAAATTAAACAAATTCAAATCCTTCGAAGGATATATATATATCCCTATTCATGCCAGCAAGTGGAAGGTCAGGTTCATTTGTGTCTAATCCCAAGTCCAAATTCTCACACATGACTTAAAACTGCGACCCCGTCATGAATGACACACCTTTGCATACGGCGACTCTCATGCTTCTCATCATCCATCAGCTTTCGTTTTAAGACGCTGCGAAGCAAAATGATTGGATGGCAAAGAGTCCCCATCCAACCGAGTCGCGGAAGGGGGCAGCATGCTTGGGAATCTACTGTAGCCATCCAGGCGGAAAGAGACGCATGTGCCAAAAAAGTGGACGATACACATGTTGTTTGGCGCTCATTTCTCCTCGCCAAAGAGCATAGAGTGACCAAGAACAAAGGCACCCCATGCAGTTTGACAGGAGAGGAGGTTGTAAAGTTCATTCAATAGAGAGGATTGTCACCAACTCTCTCAAGTTGCGATTCAACTTCTTAGACAATGGTCTTGCCTGTCCTTGGATCTTCTGCCAAGAGTTTAACCAAAGATAACCAAAGAATCTTTCAGGGTCTAAGAGTACTGTATACCAAAGGCAGGTATGGTGTGAGCCTTCATCTACCACTTACGGTCTTCATGTCCCTCCACCCCCTTGAGCGAGACCAGCGGCAACCCACCGCAGCGACTGGTGCACCAAACGCAGGCACCGTCTCAACACGTCTCGGCCTGGCATACGCAGGAGGAGCACTGGACGTCGGCAGCGTCACTGCCAGCCTCAGTGACATCGTTGGTGGGTGAGCACATGTCAGTGTGGACCGTGTGGAAGTCACAAAACTTGGGATTAAGATGAATTAAGTACATATATCATCATAATTCATCATATATCCAAGTTTGAGGGAAGGGCAGGTACCAGCTGTCAGCCCTGCTTGTGTTTCTCTTTCAGAACCAGCTTTCAGAGCGATGTCCGCATAGAGCGTGGACATCCACTGAGGGAATTTTTGGGAGGCGGACGGAAGGGACCCATTTCATACGCGCATATGGAAGAGGGACAAAAACATCACACATTCTGCTATAACCATTATATAGCTATCGTTCATGTACATATGAATCAAACTCACCCTTTGGGATGGTGAAACTTTTTCATATGGGGAATCCGTTTGATTCATCGCTGTCATCGCCGACGTTTTGAGGCGAAAACGACCTTCGGAGGCCGGGCACGGCGGAGACGGTGCACAGCAGCAGGAACCTGTGGAGCACGGCACGGTCATGGCGCCGCGCGGGGAGGGGGTCGAGTGGTCTGTAGTTGTTTGTTGGACGATTTGAACTCAGTCACTGAAGCATTGGAACACCATCGGAACACCATCTTGATCTTCACAAAGCGATGCTGAAACAGCGTCTGAACTTGCAGCCCAGTCTGCTGAGGATCTAGGTGAAGAAGTGCCTTAAAGGGGTCCTCAAAGCCAGCCGATCCCACCCAACATCCAGTCACCAGACCCCTATTCTTTGGAATCAGCTATAGGGTGTCTCATTCACGAAACATCGCTTTGGTCGCAAATCATCACCAAGCCAACCCCCATCGCGAGGGTCCTTGAGCTGAACTCCAGCGTCCCCAGTTCTTGGGGGTTCCGCCACAGCCCCGTGCCCACGGGGCACAGCCGCAAATCTGGGGACCTTCTCACGTCACAACTCACCCCCTATGCACGGCCAAACACTCTAAGCCAGTTGCCATGTCGACTGAAGGAACTGGAAACCACTTAGAACTCATAAAACCTGTGCTCTTCGGGGATCTTAAACCCAACCTTGTGGTTCAAACATCTACTCTGCAGCCCCAGAAGTCAGCAATCCTCCGCCTGATCGCGCCTGCAAGTCCGTTGCATGCTATACCGGCCTTCCAAGATCATGAAAACAAAAGAACGGCAGCCGCCCAAAAAACAACACCGCATGGTTTGGGAACTAATGTTGACTTGGGACCTATTTTCAGATTCACTAAAACTATCTTTAACTTATGATGGTTTTCCATGACTTGCAACCTCCTATGTTGTCCCAGTTCGAAGCATAATCACGTACTGATATTGGGGATGTCATGACATGTCATGATCCACCACGAGCACGACCCACCATGTAGCTTGACCCGTTTTCACGCGCTCACCGCAAAACCCCGATACCGTGGTTGACCTACCGACGGAACTTGCGCAAAGATCCTGAAGCGCTTCCCAAAGGCCCTTCATGAATTGATGGGTACCTGGGAGTAGGTGAAATTGCCCACATGCATGGGTGTTGTACCCACACACCAAACTACAAATTGGCACTTGCAGGGAGTTGCCGTACCATCAAAAGACCCTAACTACGTGAAACCGAATATCCGCGTGGCACAAGATGGCATTGAAGACGAACAACGGCAACAAATTAAAGCATCTAATTATGTGGAGCGGGCAGAACAAGATCATCCAAGTTGCCCCCACGATTCCACACTTCACGAAGTTTCTTCCGAAAATGGTAGCATTGGGAATAATCTAGGTTTTCCATAGGGGGCACAGTAATTCGAACATGGCACAATTCCATGGGAACGAGACCTAATGGATGATACGGTGGTTTAATTCCCAAAGTGGTGGCATATTTTTGCAATGTCTTCTGGGTATCAATGAACTGTGGTCGGAGAGGAAAGCCACCCGTATACGTTCGTCCCCATCCAACTTGAACCAGACTACTTGAGGCAGTTTTATGGAATTTCGGATACAATCTCGTGCTACAAAAGCCTTGCAAATATTGGATGATGATACGGATTGCGTCAGCTTGTTCGCGAAGCGATCGTAGTTTGGTCGGAAGAGCCAATACTTTAGGGTCCTGAAAATGATGAGGACGCGCTCGAGATCTGTCAGGAGGCTTAATCCAACATGGAAACTGAACACCTGTCTGGAGAATGAATGCAATTGCTAATTCGTGCCATGTAATCCCGGACTTAGTGACGTCGTCGTATTCCCCATCAGGATGTGGCCACTTGAGCGACAGGAAAAAATTGAGTACTAGATGGGCATAGTCCGCCCCCCAAAGACATGCTCGAAAGACGTGTGGATGAATATCAGGTTCCGACAAGATCAGAGGATTGGTCACATGATGGTTTGCGCGGAGCTGGTGAAGCGTACCCCAATTCTGACTTGGGTCATCATTATGAAGATCTGCTTCGGCACGCTTTGCTTTTTCTTTACACTGCACATGTTCAAGATTAAGATCATGAAGATAACGAAGAACCTGTCTGGCCTGACGTATTTGACATTGGTTCCATTTTTCAATAGTAGCGAAGCACTGTTGGTTTTCCGTGCGGTCAGTTTTACGGGCCTGGACTGCTGCCATATTCGCACAGTCGTTGCCTTGAATGTCATTAAGTTCCACTTGGTTTCTTGCGGAGTGCAGTGGCTGGTGAGATTTGACTTTGCGAAGGATGAATTGACATGGTCGCCAAAAGGCACGAATATCTTGCAGGAGATCAACATGGGCTAAAACCTGGGGGATAGGTTGATCGAGATTTTCTGTAATATTGCGTACTGCATTAATGACATATTGAGAGTCTGTGGTGATCACTACCTGATTAGTGATCAAATTAGCATGGCATTCTCGAAGAATCCAAGTGACGGCCGCAAGTTCTGCCCTAGAAATTGTCTGATGACCACGTACATGTTGAATGACCACTGTCCGAAAAGGAAGTCGGGAGCAATGTGGGTCAAATTGAATCACGGCCCAAGCAGCACGCTGGAACTCTGGAAGGGTGGGGTTATCAGCCGAACCATCTGTATACAGAAAAAATTGTCTGCTGTGACGTACTTATATGAGATTGGGAGCTATGATTTCCTCGCTGATGCAATAGATGGCGGAGGTGATTTACCGACTCATGCTGGATTGGTAGAGGGAAGTGTAGCATATAGAGATTAGCATTCAGGACCGAGATTGCCAATGGATGGGCATCACGAATGTGCTGGAACTTTGGGCATTCCAGCTGGCGATGTGCATGAGTGTCAAGCTGATGACAATATTGACAGGTACCATCTGTCGTACTAGACCATTGTGCTTTAACCGCCCCTACTTGATATCCGCCTGTGATATCTGTAGCCACCACTTTGATCTCTGTGGATGAGAAATGATGTAAGACTTTATGAGTGAGACCAGCATCAAAGGGTGAAATAGTAACGCCCTTGCGATGTCGGATATTTTGGTGAACTACCAGATCCCATGCACGATGCAAGAACTTCCGAATATCCCTGGGGGTATCATGTTTAATTGAGAAAACAATATTCCCAGGGCATGTGATATAGCCGTCCCGATGAATTTTCCACTGGACTTTGTTAAGATAGCATGCCAGAGCCCCAGCGGGGCCTTGTGGTTGGCCTATGTGATCACAAACCAAGTATAGAAATTCGTTTGCTTGCTCGGGATGGTATACAAAGAGACGGCGAAGAAAGGATAAGGCCGTGGTTATTACGTACAAGAAGGGATCCTGCAGGGCGGGGTATAGGTACTGCATTGCCATCCATGACGAGGACTGCTGCTCCGGACCTATTAATGCGGTGGTTGCGGCTCTGCGGAGTTCTTTGAAGTCGGACTCACCGACAAGTTGTAGCAATGTACGTTAATCGTTTACACCTGGCGGCAGCGCTGGTAAATTTCTCTTTGAGATGTCCTAAGACAATTTGCTTTGTATAGTGGCACATACATCCAAGATCTTTTGCCGAGTTGAGAATGCGAACTAGTTGGGGATCATCAAGGACTTCATTTAGTGTGTCTTGCCACTGGTCGCGTGCTGCCTTCGTGATTCCCCAAACCCAGGATTTTTTTGTAGTCAATCTGCAAACGGAGGCTGTCCGCCATCTGTCGTATTTTCAGGTAGGCTTGATAATCTTCTCGTTGGGAACAGGTAAGATAGGACCAGTTATCTGCATAGCAGTACGGATGCAAATTAGGGCTGTGGAGGAGCCAATAAAAAGCCGACGACAAAACCAACATGCTACAAACTGACATACTATCTCCCTCTGGCACTCCTGTGGTCATATGAATGGGTTCCCCGATAGCCAAACGCACTTGTAGTCGTCGAGTCATACGGCGTAAATTAATAAACCAAAAGTTGATGACTTGCGGTGGGGCGCCGTGATAGACAAGCAAATGGTAAATGACGCGGCGGGGGAGCAGATTAAAGGCTTTAACTAAGTCCAATGTGAATCCCATCCATGACTGATTCAGCTTTTGGATTTCTCTAACTGGACTTGTTGCATGAATGATATGTCTTTCACACCTCTATGAGGGAGACCTCCTGCGAGTGCCGACGGCCATAGCTGTCCCCAATGTCTTAGAAGTTGATCGGCCACAATTTTTGGTTAGACGAGAGACATATCCTAGTATGGTGATTGGGCGTCCATCACCAATGTTTTCTGGTGGATTTCTTTTGGCCAAAAGGACGACCCGGGCGATCATGTGATCATGACTAAGACCATGTGACCACAGGCGAGAAAAGATGGCTGCTAATGACTTAACTGCACTTGGAGGGAGGAGACGCAACTCCTCAGCCCGCCATCCATCAATGCCAGGTGCTTTAAATGGCTTTAGTTTATTAATCGTCTGTTGTACTAAATCTGGCTGATCACATATGATGGGCAGGGGAGCAGTGGGTGGGATCCGCTGTGTGAGGTCAGTCACAACATTCTGCCATGCTGAATCTTCAAGTTCTTCACTGGGGGTATCACGTTGCCAATATTGGCTCCAATACTTACTGAATGGTTCTGTCATAGTACTGGCTCGATAGGCAAATGTATGCTGTCGCAGGAGAGCTTGAGTGGGACAAATTCCTGACAGAAGTGTTGCACAAAGGAGGTTGGTCTCCTGCAATAATAGCATCAACTCAGCATCTCCAAAGATCAATTTGCCGTATTGTTGAAAGGACACTGGTGAGTGTATGAGTATATGAACCACTCCTTCTGGACTGGGACGGAGGGTGGCCAAACATTCCACGGTCACAGGAAAGCCTGGCAAGATTTTATTCTCTTCTGCCTTTAGTGATCGATATAGTCGGGATCCTGACTTTTGGGTTTGATCTAGGTGGGCTGCATGTTTGTTGGATGTTTTACGAAGCTTATTCTCATACTGGCAGTACATGTCAGCGTCATACTTAGTTATTTGAAGCATATTATCAAGATCATCTATATTGAGTGTATCAATTGTAATGGCTGGTATGACTTCAAACTGTAAGATCCATCTTTCCCAGGCACGTCCATAACCCGGGGCCAATCGTATGGATTTCCAGAGCTGGTGGAGTTCTGGGCTTAAGACCACAGAGCCAGGCATTTGTTCCTGACCAGTTTGTTTAGTACACAAGCGTTGAAGGCATCTAAGACGACGGACCTGTCGGACCTTTTGGCGGCTACGAACCGAAGTTGTTTCACACGGAGGATTGTAAGCTTCTGTGACATCTCTGCGTGGGCCCCGGGGTATCGTAACCGGGGTCAACTTTGGTTTTTGACATCGCCCGCGGAAGAGGCGTGGTAGTGATCGAACTGGGTTACGAAAAGCATCTTTACGATTGAGATGACGTAGGGTGTCATCAATGGCTTTTTCAACTCGATTAGAATCTGTTCCGTGTTCACGTGGGCAGTAAGCCCATCACCGGAAAACAGCGCGCCTGCAACCACAGCAAATAGCTTGTCCCTGATCAGTATTCGCTTGTCGTATTGTGAAGCGCAAGCAGCCTCTTTGAGGGACTCGGCCAGCTGTGAAATCTCTGGACGAAGCTTCTTTGCTAAATCGCAGATGCGTATCAAGGACATTTCCATATCCTGGGACGAATGCTGACAGTCCCATGCGGACGCGTCAGAACACAACAGTATGCTACCGCGAATGAATTTTCGC